CATAAATAAAACAAAAATTATTAATTGATTGGAGTAATAAGTAATTAAGGATATTATCAAATTAAGATCTATTTAATATTTTCCTTTAACACATAAGGAAAAAAAGATCATGATAAATATTTAGGAATAGGTTGTATTAAATAATTACATAAAATAGAAATAGTCAAGTTTAGACTTTCAAAATATATCAATAAGGTTAGTTTAACAAAATACACATTTAATTTAAGTTTTCTCAAGTAATGTGTTAGGTCAAGAACGTGCAAGTAATAACTATCCTTGAAAGTAAGCATTGACTAATAACTATCCTTGAAAGTAAGCATTGACTAATAATCAACATTAAAAACATCCAAAATTGTAATTGCCTCTTTTTATTTCTTCCTATTTTGATCTTAGTAATAACTATCCTTGAAAGTAAGCATTAACTAATTATCAACATTAAAAACATCCAAAATTGTAATTGCCTCTTTTTATTTACACTCTTTATTTCATATGAATTGAACTTTTAGATTGTTTTCACTGTCCAAAGAATTGAATTGCTCAAAGTTCAAAGTCGATGTTTGAAATTTTTTTCATATTTGCCCTTTCATTTATAAAACTTTTATAATTTTAGCAGATAAATTACACTACTTATAAAGTTATATTTATGATTTTATAAAGGAAGATAGTGAAAATTATGCTTTAAATAATTTCCTTGAATATTTTTTAATACATGTGTATTGCCTCACAAATTCAGTTAATATAAAATAGGAGTATTAAAGAGGTGATTAGTATTTTAATGATTAAAAATACTAAATAAGAATATGTTATATGATATTCAAAATATGAGTTTTTGACTAAAGTCATTCTTGAAGTATGATATAACTTAAGTACATCCTTGTGTTATATAAGTGAACGAAAAACATCCTTGAAGTATCAAAAAAATTGCAAGATTTATCCTTCTGTCTATTTTAAAAAAAACTCACGCCATCAATAAAAAATAAAATGTGTCAAGTCGAATGAATATATGTACACAGGGTTAAGCTAATCAAGTTAGTAACCTGTTTTTAGAAATTGAGGATCTAAAACATATTCAGACAAAATATATTCAAATTCTAAATATTCTTGTAAAAATATGGCCAAATACTACTCCAACTTCAAATTTTTGAAAACAAGAATTATTTCTTTTATTTTCATAACTAAACGGCTACATAATTTCACTAAATTTCCAACATTTATGTATATTGTATAAAATGTGAATTGCATTGTATATAAAGTACATGTGCGCTAAATATTTTATTAAAGAAAATCTCTAGATAGTTGGACATAATACTTTTAAAATAATTTTTTTTACTTAATCTTTCTACCATCATAACCTACTTTATAAATATTTCAAAACTTATGTATCGTTGCAAGTCAATTTACTTGATCATGCAATAAAAATTGACAATACGCAAAATTTAAATTTCGAGAATAAAAGATTTGTTTCCTATCCATATCCTTATTATTTTTAGGTAACTTTGATCTTCTCGTCATGGCAAGACATGACTAAATTTTTTTTATTGGTTCAATTAGTATAGTAACAAAAATAGATTGAAGGATGATTCTTGTTATTTTTTGTATAGTATAAGTATATCTTTTGCTCACTTAAATAATATAAAGATGTAAATTACATTTGAGTCATAATTAAAAGATGATTTCAGCTAATAACTCATCAAAATACATACTTTCTCAAAAGACAGGTAAAACAATAATATGACAAATAAAGTGGCCAAAAAAAGTGACATTACACTACAATTTATATAAAGAAAAAATCGAAGGATTTTCACCTTCAAAAACTTTCATTGCACGTATTTGAGATTACAAACTAGAGATAATTGATTAAAATAAATTTGTATCAATATTAGAAGAAGTGATTAATTAGTTTTCGTAATACTCAAATTTGTATACATAGTTATAACCAGAGTCATGATACATAATTTATCTTTAGTGTTTCCATTTTTTAAGTTATTTCGAATACACCAATCACTTTCTTCATATTGTGCATCAGTAATTATTCCTTTTATTATAAAAAAAATAATGATATTTTTTATCTTTGTAATCCTAAATTAAAGTTATTTCAAATGGACAAAAAAAATTTCTAATTCTACAATCTTAAATATATCACGTGAAAATCTAAAATTAAAGCGTTATAAGAAAAAGAAAAAAAATTCCTTTTCTTAAACATACTAAAAGTTAAAATAGGTGATACTTTTGAAAACGGGTAATATATAAAATATTAAGTAATATATTATATTGAGACCAAAAGAAAAAAAACAAAATATTCATAAAATAAAATATAGCAAAAACTTGAATGTACACAATTGTTGATAGTTCAACACATCAATGCATAATTTTTTTTTAAAAAAAAATGCTAAATTACATTATTAAAGTTTCGATTAGTCATACATATCTTCATCTTCTTCCTCTGGTGGTGGAAGAAACTTGAGATCCGGACAGTGGTACATCAACTTAGGAACCACATTGTCTCCTACATGTTCATCGGTAAAGCTGTCTCCAACACCCTCCTCTAGTGTTACAGCAGCAACATCCACTACAAAAAAACACTTAAAATCTGGGGGTTAAAATTACATATTCCAGAGGTCAGTAACCCCCGCAACTTAGTTTTATGACAGTTGCAGAAACTCCTACAATTAGGTGTGCCACAATTATGTTGCAGGGGTTTTTTTCCAACCCCTGGTACCAGTAGCGGGGGTTTGCTAACGGGGGTTTTGAACCCACAAATTGATAATTGCACAAATTCAAGGATTTTGAACCCCAACAATTTATATACTCTGGGAGTCAAAAACCCCACGATTCATGAATTATACATTAAAACTAACAAGAGTTTTAACTCCTGCTATTTATGAAATGTATCTTTTTTAAAAAATTTGCTGGAAATTAAATATTCAAATTTAAATAATAATACTAATTAATTAACATAGACAAATATAAAAGGGCATATTAGTATATGAAATAACACAATAGTTCACCACAAAAGCATGTCATAAAGTGTACTATTAGTTCTACAAACTTAATTGGAACATGTTATTCACTTCAACCATATTATTACAAGAAACTTTCAATCACTACAAAAACTTACTTGAACTTCAAATCACTACAAAAAATTGTTTAAACTTTAGATCACTAGCATCCAAACTCAAGAAAGGATCTACAGTTGTTCATGAAACTTCAGCGGGGTTCACTACGATTACTATCACTAACATCACCTGGCTGCAAAGGAAAATACACATGTAAGTGACTTCATCCAAACTCAAGACTTTTACTCCGATAAAATATGAAATAATGTAAGCTAACACTAAGCATGTGAACAACAATACTAAATTCACTACTATGAAACTAAATACCAATGCCACTCATTAACAAATAGGAGATGTAATCATCCAATTTGCTTAGAGATATGAATTGTCTTTGCAAGTACAACAAGACCAAGCAATTCAGATGAGTTTATGCGGAAATACTCCTAGCATGATTGCATTTAAGGATATCAAAATCACAAATCCTAAAACGGATTCGACCTCAACAAATAACAATAGTAGTACATATCTGCATATGTGCAAATATGCATACGTACAATAGCTATTTTTTTTCTTTCTTGCCTTCTGACAGTACCTGGATCAACTTATGCAAACTTGACTATTTCACCGAGTACTTGCTAACCTCTGCCTACCAAGACTTTGGGAATGAGAAGAAATCACCTAATGTTTCTTGTCTCTATTGACATTTGAACCCTAATTTCCAATGATTTCCTCCCCCCTCCCCCAATCGACCAGTAGACCACACTATTGGGTGCACACATAAGCATAGCTATCTAATTGCATAAAGCACCAACAAGAAGGAGCAGAAAGTCCAAAGGGTTACACACATCCTATGATTTACCTGATGTTACTCGGCATGCTAAGGAAAAGAAGTCAACAACAAGAACAATGCAAAGTAAATACGAACTTGTCGTTTAGACGCCAGAAGAAAACTCTTCATGGACTATAAATTAGGTTGTTGTGTATTTCCATAAGAGTACATAATGTTGCACAAGAAGCTCAAAAGGAAAATCATCTCCATTTACAAATATTGGACAGTAAAGGCCAATTTGCTGCACATTATGCACTAGGAGTAGCCATGCAAATGTAGAATTGTTTTTCAATTAGCATTTGATGCACTAGCATTTGTTTTTCAATTAGCATTTGATGTAAACTAAACGAACAAATCTGATATATAAATAACGTCATTGAAGAAGAGAGAATGTAAACGTTATATTTACCATTGTAGTAGTAGGAGCAAATAACCCTACAAATTGTTTTGGTAATGCCCCTTCTTTCATTATCATATATGACTTGAAAGCAGCCATCATTTGAATGTGAGAATTCAACAATTTATTGTAGTTCTCCTAGCAATTGGATGGACATGAAACACTCGAAGCATTCATACCGCTGAATCGAGGTCTTGCTTGTTTAAAAAATCTAGTGGGAACAACTCCTAATCCCAAACACCTTACCCTTCCAGAGTGCTCTTTTCCTAGAATTTTTCCAACTGCATCATCTGGCGATATTATAGACTCATCCACAGTGCTTTGACTCATAGTTTGCTGAATTTTTTCCCGAGTATAGTACACACACAGAACACTTTATCAAAATTTGAAAAAGTAATTGAGAACAAACATGTATTACCTAAATATAATCAAAGTGCATTCACATATTCCTGAGTTAGGAATTCCTTTACTCCTGAGTTTAGCATTCATAAAACAAGCAAAGTACATGCATATATTCAATCCAAGTGAGAGATAATTAGTGAGACATAATTTTAAATCATTTACTCAAGCAAGGATTTTAAATCACTTCAAAATGACAGCACACTATACTAAACAAGGCACCATCAAACTGATTTGAACAATAGCAATGACGAAAATATTAACAGAGAATCTCAGGTTTAAAATAAATAAGAGACTAAACATAAATTGCTTGACTTAACTTGTTAATAGAATAGGGACAGACTTGACACAACCAAGGAACTGGAGTGCTATTATTTCCCCCATTAACTAACTTACACAGATAACTTTTGCTGCTTCATTTATATATGCTCCATCTACATTCTTATGAGTAGCAAGATAAAGTTCTGCTCGTCCAGGCATTTGACCGGTCTCAGCCATCTATAAGCAAAACAATCAACTTAGAATAACTTAACTAATTAAACATAATTACAAAATAAGTCATCTTAATAACTAAATAAAATGAAAAGAACTAAAATCTTTGACCATTTCAGCCCTTCTTCTAGAGTTAGCTTTGGATCCACCTGTGTGTGGAATGATTTGTTTCTTTCGACTTTCAGCATTTCTGTTGCACATTTCCTAACAAAAAAGATACACGAAATTCAATCATTAGAAATTAATTATATGACTACACATACTACTTAAAATAATTAAATATATAGCTGTGTTTCTTTTTTATAACGATAATTAACATAATAAGTCCACTGATCTCTTGGAATTCCAGGTGGAACATTATCCATAATCTGAGTTTTGCTTTTAGGTGGATCACTGAACACTTTCCATATGTCCAACCTATTTGCACTCCACTTCTTTGAAATACAGTTATAAACATATCATCGAGCAGCTAAGTTGGTTGTCAAAAAAAAAATCGAGGCTTCAATAATAAACACTAGTTAGCTTACCTATTAAATTTAAATATAAAGATTCGAGAAAAGAATATAAGTATAGTATTTAGAATATAGAGTTTATACCACTATGATTTGATCAAAGACGCCATCGAAGTATGACATAGGCATATTTGGCCATTTGTCAAAGTGCATTGGAAATAAGGACGAATCAGCAGCTAAAATTCCACAAAAACCAGAAAGAAGGGGTTGTGCTTCTCCAAATGGAAAATCCAGGTAGTCAAAATTGACAACAATACGATCTTCTCCAGATAAATTTAGCACTTCTTTGACTTTCACTTTGAGTTTTTTTTTGTTTCCTTCTGAATCTGGAATAGTGAAAATGATATAAAATGAAAACATGTTCAATTTTCCAACCAATCATCAAGACATTGAGGGAAAACCAAGAAACTTGTATTTTTTTCACTTTATGATTAAAATGAAGGGAGTAGGTAGAAAAGAAGATGAAAAGTGAGGGGAAAAATAGGACAAGCCCCTCTAACAAGAAGAAGAAAAACAAGACAAATGGAGATGAAGAAAAAAAGATGAAAAAGAAAGCAGAAGTGTAAATTTTACCTATTGCTTCTACCGTCCAATACTTCGTAGACTCACGTCCAACAACACGCTTCTTAAATGATTTTGGTTGTGATTCGTCCTGACTTGATGAAGTCGAATGTGATACAGCCTGATTTGAGGAAATAGACTGTGATGCAGCCTGAGTTGACTGAACCGGCTGTGATGTAGCCTGAACTGAGGAAGTCATCTGTTTTTTCGCCTGAACTGATGAAATCGATTGTGATGTGGTTGGTTGTGCGTTGGGCTGAACTGACAATGTAGGTTTTGTTTGAACTGAGTTTTGCAAGTTCTGCCAGCGCTTGGTCTTTGCCATTTCTACAATAAACCAAAGATAAGATAAATCAGAAATTCTTTAAAAAAATACTGTTATTGCAATACTTGTAAAGATTACTGGTTCATCCAGTTATAAGACTGCAGATTTTCATAAGAAATTTGTATCCACATCCATACACACATGAAAAGTTCAAATCTTAATAAAAGAGTGATGTGATTAGCATATACAAATAGTTTTTCCTTTACACCAAAACTAAAAAGCATGCTATGTGTGTTCAGGCATATGCTCCTATGTTGAGATTTGGACATTTCCATAATCAACATCGAAAAAAATTTCAAATTCTTGTTGTTGGTAGGGCTCATTCTCAAATATCTCTTCTTTATCAACTTGTCCCATGTCAAACACATCTCTTGGTTGTAAATGTATAGCTACACTCCATTCTTTATCTGTTTCATCATCAACATAGAAAACCATATTTGCTTGTGATGCTTCAATGTAAGGATCATCATCCTCACGATCACCGGTGTGAATCAATTTAGAAAAATTGACACAATTAAAGTTCCAAACATCTCTTCCAACTTCCCATAATATGGCAAATCTGCTTGCCTCTATCTCGAGTAGTGTCAGCCCACTTGCATTTGAAAAGCACAACCCTGAAATTTCCATAATAGTTAAGCTCAATAATATCTTCCAACTTCCCATAATATGGCAAATCTGTTTGTCTTGCATTTCTATCAGCACTAGATGCAACGCAAGAAGTGTTAGACATAAGAAAAACTCCACTATTTTGAGTTTTCAATCCTTGTTCTCTTGACACAGTTCAAAATTTGAACCCATTAATGTTATAAGCAGTGAATCTTCTTGCATATGGCACTGGACCTTGTGCTAAAAACTTTATATCATCAGAGATTGTGTCTTCTATATCTGGATTCAATAACTGGATTCACCCACACTTCTTTGTCTATTTTTTTTCTTTTTCTTTTTATTTTATCATTCAACTTTTCTTGTCTTCCAAATGTAACATTAATATTTGTCACTTGTTGCAAAATATCAAATCAAGATAACTTTTTTTTGGGGGGGGGGGTTTCTTTCTTCTACAGTTCCATCAAAATGATTCCTCATTAATCTGAATTTATGATTTCTTGCCAAAAATCGACGATGACCAACAAAGCACCACTTTCTACTATGAGTAAGTCGACAAGTTTTCATGTCAAAATTACAAGATGGACATGCAAAACCGGTATATGTGTTCCAACCAGATAAGATACCGAGTCCCGAAAAATCACTAATTGTCCACATAAAAGTTGCCCACATTCTAAAAATTTCATTCTTTGATGAATCAAAAGTCTGTACACCTTCACTCCACAACTCATTCAACTCCTTAATAAGTGGTTGTAAGTATACATCTATGTTATTTCCCACCATTCGTGGACCTGGAATGATCATTGATAGAATAGAATTTGGTTGTTTCATGCACAACCAAGGTGGTAGGTTATATGGAACCAAAATTACAGGCCAAATGCTATTATTAGTACTCATCGCTCCAAAGGGATTGAAACCATCACTAGCTAACCCTAATCGAACATTTCGAGATTCAAAAGCCAATTTTGGATAAGTTGTATCAAATCTCTTCCATGCCTCACCATATCTAGGATGCCTTAAAATACCATCTTTGTTACCACCATCCGTATGCCACCTCATATGTTCTGCCATCTTAAAGCACATGAACAGTCTTTGTAATCTTGGTTTTAATGGGAAGTAACGCAACATTTTTGCAGGTCTCTTTTTTTTCTTCTTACCCCTAGCAACCACTTTAATGTTTGTATTCTTCTCATCAAGCTTCCATCTCGAAGTATGACAATGCTTGCATGTTTCCTCATTAACATCATCTCCCAATACAACATGCAATCATTTGGACAAACATCAATCTTAACATAATCAAGACATAACTTGTTGATAGTTTTCTTAGCCTCATAAAAAGAATCAGGGATCTTTGCAAATTCAAAGGCATCCCTGAGTAGATCCAATATCATAATAATTCCTTTGTCACTTAGACTAGACAAACACTTTATGTGATATAACTTTAACAAAAACTCTAATTTTGAGTACTTAGACCCTTCATACAATTCTTCCCTTCCATCTTTGAGCAACTCAAAAAAGTCTTTGTCATATGATGTGGGTATATCCTTTAATATCTCTTCTTCTGTCACTATTTGCGATGGACCTACATCAAATCTCTCTTGCCTAAACCCATGAAATGCTTCGTCAATCAATAGTTCTACAGGATTTTTTGGAGGCAGTGTATCCTGAGTAAACTCTCTGCTTTTAGAATTTTGTAACACACTTGTTTCCCCATGCATAACCCAAATGACATAATATTGAGGAAATGGCTTGCAAATCAAATGATGAAATACTACCTCTCTAGTCTGCCATTTTCCAAAACAACATTGAGGACACGACATTTTATTCTATCTTCTATAGCTCTATTTTTAAAAGCAAATTCCAAAAACTGATTCAAACCACCAGATATTCCTTTGTGGTCCTTGGCATCCTAATCCAAGATTTATCCATCGAAAAAACAAAATTAGCAGACAATATCACCTATAAGATTTTCATGAGAAAATAATAAGGTTAGAGTGATATTTTAACAATTTTATGTATCAGCTAATGCAGAAATGGAGTATATGCAGAAATGGTCATAATGTTTTCTTTTTGCATGCCAAAATCGAAACATAATGAACACAGGAAGTGGATGTGATTTAGAGAACAACAATCTGAGAGAAAATGTGTATTTTTTCTCTATTTGAAAATTTTGGATTTTTCTCTCTGACGTCTTTTTTGATTATAAAAAAATGGCATACTTCTAAAATTTCAGAAAACTCAACATGAATTTTTATTCTTTTACCCTTCAGAAAATTTTTTATTAGTGTCTTTGAATATTCTTTACATATGCTTATAAGTTAGAAAGCCCAACATTTTATGGTTTCATCATATTCTTGATATTGCATATGAGAAACCAGAACTGCTGTGAGGTAAAAACTTATAAGCATAGATTGACTGTCAATTACTAAAAGTGGTGTATGGAGGCTCATATTCTTACAGAATATATGACCCTCAAATGAGCCAATTCTAGAGCATTTCAATAAGACTATAGTTCGTCGTCTGCTTTGGTAATGTCTATGAAGAAAAATGTAGACTCCAAACTCCTTCTTTACAGTGATATTACAGAAGATTTGACATTGTACAACATGATATAAGATGCACTGTGTTTTGATAGGTTAACTAGTATACCACAAACTTGGTCCAAAATCTCTGAATTGCTAAAAGATTGCAACTAGAACTTCTAACCGGTTATATGTAACATTCATCTACAGAAGTTTCTGTGCCCTTCCTCTGTGTCTTCAGATTCTCCTTGTTCAGAATAAGTCCCATTTGTCAGTCTCCAATAAGATAGGTCTGATACAAGGAAACATCTGAATGCAAACAGAAGGCATAATTTCTTATCTACCTCTATATTTGCCTTTCATCATGACCTTGCTTCTGCTTCTTGAGAGACCTCAAGTTCAGGATTAATTGAAATAGAAACTGTTTAAGGTGCAAAAGGTACTGCAAGAGACGGAATGGTACAAGGATTTGGACGCGGTGTTCTTAACTAGCAGTATCAGTCATCTTTCCCTCAAATAAGTTGCAGAGATTGGCTTGAAACATCACAGGCAAACATAGAAGACTACACAAGGTCACTCCTATGAGATAGACTTTATCAACTAATACAAGAATACAACAATCAGACTGTTCCAACATCGTCATTAATAGATATTACCCCACCCCCATCTCTAATAAGAGTATTTACACCAATTTGAAACATTTCTAACTCTGTTAAACCAACCATTAGAGGTAGAATGGTGAAATAGAGTTTCCCACTAACAAAGAAAGAATTTTTTCAAATCATCAAATCACTTTTAGAAGCCAACTGCAGGTAAGTGTCTATGCCCAGCATAGTTCGTAACTTAAGAAAAGTGAGGAAAAACTTTTTCTAACCAGTCAAATTATATTTACAATGTTAAGTAGATAAAACTGAAATTCGTAATGAATAATACACATATTCATCCTTCTCATTGAGCTTTGGGCAACATGTAAAAATCAACCCAACTTCGAATTTATCAAATGCCCCATATTTCAATCAGCCACCAGAGTCAAAAAGCATAGGCATTTCACAGAGTCAATTTTGAACTGATCATAATTTGAAATTCATGCCAATGAAAGAGAAGAGACATTTTCTCTATCTGTAACAACTTGTTTAGTTGGTTCGAGCAGTAGAGCTATTTTTGATAAAAACTGACTGGGTCGACGGATCACGCGACGGACCGTCATGGTCACGACGGACCGTGATGGACTCCGTCGTCCCATACTTGTGTAATTTCTTCTGCTGCTCTCCTCATTACCCTCGACAACAAGTAGGACGAACCGTCATAGGCACGACGGTCCGTCGAGGGTCCTCGTTCCAAAACACTTCAACTCTGAAATCTGAGTACTGGGATCGACTCTCTGAAATTCACGACGGAACTGCAGCACGAACCGTCGTAGATACGACGGACCGTTACAAGTTGTGTAACCTCACTACTAAATTTAACTCTCTGAACTTTGTGACGGACCTGCAATACGGACCGTCATAGATATGACGGACCATCACAAGCTGTGTAACTCAACCCTGGGTCGGATTTCCGCTAAAATTTAAATGGGTGTTTTGGCCTAATCTTGATTATAATTATGAAATTAGTGGGTAAGTTCAATAATTTATTTACTTAGGGGTTAAAGAAGATAATAGGGAAATAAATAGTGGGTTACTTTTATCATAATGGATTATATGATAATTAGGGTAAAAGAAAAAGAATCTGCAGAAGAAAAATAAAAAGAACATAAAGGGAGAACGAGCGAGAGAGAGAGAGAACGAAGAAGAAAGCATGTGACTTAGACTTCAGATTGGAAAGGTTCAAAGGCATTGGGGAGGTAGCTTGCTTGATCACGATTCTTCGGTGGAGGTAGGTTATGGTTTATTTCTATATGATAGATAAACTCTAAATAGCGATCAATATGTATTGGGTGGTATTGTAAAGTCTTCTATGTACTTGATTATGTGATTGTATGTTTTGATTGTATAGTTGTGGTTGGTTAGAATGATGAGATTGTTGAAACTTCAATCTTAAATCCTCTCTATTACGATGACGCCTTGACATAAAGAAGACTTGATGAAATAAAATAATGAGATAAATGGATCGGAGTGTCACGTTCCGACACGTATTAGGGGATCGGAGTGTCACGTTCCAACAAAATAATAATAAAGAGAAGGAATCTTGAATTAGGTTAATATGCTCAAATTTGAAGAACCTATTTCCCAAATGAGTATGGTGTGGAGGCTTGAGTCCTCATAGGTGTGCTTGGTGTTGTTGCCAATGCTTCTTGTACTTGTTGCTTGTCACCTGTTAAGTATTGTGGTTGATTTTATATTATTATTCAGTATATATTGCTTTCTATTTTGAGTTGGCGGATGATACCTACTCAGTACGTGTT